CTTTATAATCTGATCTTTATCTGTCTTTGTGGATTGACAATATTACATGTAAATTTACAGGTACATTTTGATATATACAAAAGTACACAAATCATAAAAATGTATTCCAGTGATGAAGAAAGGTTGGATAGCATTGGCATTTTGCATTTGTATTAATAATAACTCTACTTGTGGAAGGTTCTGGAAGGTTAAGTTCTAAATTTGATGTTCTGCCATAAGGATGATGTTTCGATTGATCCCATCCGTCCGTTTTCCTGATCATATGCTTTTGGTGCATGTTCATCTAACTGCAGTTTTCCCCATGTTCACTCTGTTCATGGAGTGTTCCAAAAAAGGTGACCATTGTGAGGTGTGTTGTAACTTGAATGTTAAGCTTGATTTGATCTGTACTGAGTTTCCTTCTTCCCCCGCGCACATGGTCTCTTAATGTTTCATCATTTTGCATCCATGTGGTAATTTTTTATAAAAGTTAATAGTTTAGGGTTTATTCCTTGTGTTATGTTTCTATTGATCTTGACAAACATATCATTCTGTTGTGTCTACTATTAAAACAATATACAAAAAGTGTAATTACCATGCAAAACAATATATTCTCTTCATTATTCATTCTTCCTTTAACTCACCCTAGGATCCACTTGATCTTTTTATTGTCTGGAGTTCTGCTTTTTCCAGACTGTCATATAGTTGGAGGCATATACTAGATCGTGTTTAAAATTGACTTTTTTTTTTTAGTATGCAATCTCTGTTTAATGTACCTCCATGTCTTTTCATGATTTGATAGCTCCTTTTTATTGCAGAATAATACCCAACTATATATGGATGTTACCGTTTACTTATCCATTTCCATTTTGAAGGATATCTTGATTGCTTCCAATTTTAGGTGGCTTTGAATGAAGCTACTATAAACATTTGTGCAGGTTGATGTCTGAATATAAGTTTTCAGTTCATTTGGATAATACTTAGGAGTGCGATTGTATGGCAAAACAATGTTTAATTTTGTAGGAAACTGTCTTCCAAAGTGGCTGTATGTGTATTGTGTTGTGCCCACTACAATGAATAAGAGTTCTTGTTGCTCCATAGCATTTGCTCTAACATTTGGTGTTGTCAATGGTGGATTTTTGTGATTTTAATAGATCTGATAAATGTTTTTGCAAATATGTTCTACCAGTCTGTAGCTTATTTTTTCATTCTCCTAATACATTTTCCTTCACAGGGCAGATTTTTAAAATTTTAGTGAAGTACAGTTCAGAAATTGTATTCCATGGATCATGTTTCTAAGTATTCATCACCAAACTCTTAGGTTTTTTCTCTCTAGATTTATACTTGTGTTTTCTGTGTGATCCATTTTGAGGTAATTTTGGAAGATATAAGGGTCATTGTCATATTTACTTGTATAGGGAAGTCCAGTTGTTCTATCACCATTTGTGGGAAAGACATATTTTGCTATGAGAAGGCATTCACTCCCTTGTCAGAGTTCAGTTGACAGTATTTGTGTGAGCCTGTTTCTGAGCTCCTTTCTTTTTCCTTGATCTACTTTCCGTTCCTTTGGCAATCTTACCCAGTCTGTGTCAACATAGCTTTATGGTAAATCCTGAAGTTGAGTAGTATGAGTCTTCCAACTTGGTTCTTCCGTTTGTTGACTATCCAAAGTCTTTGTTGACTATCTTTTGTCTTTCTATGTAAACTTTAGAGCATTACTTATTGATAGCTACAAAATAACTTGTTGGGATTTTGATTCACTTGATTTGTGTTCTGTTATATCTTTACTATAGGCTGTCAGGGAGAGGTTTGGAAACAATAAAACTATATTAATTACCCAAATGAGTTTATGAAGTCTTCTCTTTTTTACAAGTTCAAAGTTGTAGGTATGTGCATTTCATGCTTTATGTCTTCACATATTTGAAAATTAAAAGAACATTAAGGGGAAATGTAAAACCTTTTTTTGTCTTTTCCTCATATTCAAAGCATTATTACAAAGCAATTGAAGAATATAACCATTTCAGTAGAAAAAAGAACAAATGTGAATAAGCACTTAAAGGAAAAAATAGCCTCTTTATTGAAATATGACACATTGCAGTTCATTCAAAGTATACAATTCAGTGGTTTTAATTGTATTCAGATATATTCCACTATCACCAATTTTAGAACATTTTTATCACCTCAAAGAAAAACCCTTAGTCTTCAGCTGTCACTCTCCTACTCCCCATTACCCCAAATTTAAGCAACCACTTAATTATTTTATGTCTGTAGACCTACTTATATACATGTTCTTTTGTGATTAGCTTCTTTCACTTAGCATGATAATGTCATGGTTCATCCTTGTACCATAGAGTAAGTCTAACTTACATACAACTCCTGCGACAAATTCTACACCACAACCACCTTCTGAATGTGCAAACTTTGAAATCATTAAAAAGGCTTTGACCCTTTTCTTACACTAGAATAAAAAAACCCATCGTCATGAAGTACATGCCCTTTATTAAGTTGACAGAATTTCCTTTTATTCCTACTTTGGTAAGATTTTATTGTAAATGGGTGTTATTGTTAGGTACTGTCGAGTTGGTTTTGCCTCCTAGTAACCTTTAGTACAACATCAAAATACCGCCCTGTCCTGTGCCCCGTCCTCACTATTATTGTTAGATTAAGCCCATTGTTGCAGCCACTGTGTCATTTCATCTTGTGGAGGGTCTCCCCCCCCCCTTTTTTTTGGGGTTTGCTAAGCAGGATATCCTTTTCCTGATAATATGTCCAATGTACAGGAGATGAAGTGTCGCCAACCTTGCTTCTAAGGAGTATTTTGGCTGTACTTTCAAGACAGATTTGGTATTTCGGTATCCTTTGCCAGCACCGTAATTCAAACGCATCTGGTCTTCTTTGGTTATCATTATTCACTGTCCAGCTTTCAGGTGCATATGAGGTGGTTGGAAGTGCCATAGCTTGGATCTGGTATAGTTTAGTCCTCAAAGTGGTATTCTTGCTCTTCAACATTACAGAAGTCTTGTGACAGAGCTTTCAGAAACTCACAGGGCAGCCCGGCTCTGATGTATAAGGTTGCAAAGAGTCGATATCGACTGGATGGCTGTGAGTTTGGGTTGTTTTTTTGTTTTGTTTTTGCAGAACAGATTTGACCAATACAAAACATTAATTTGATGTCTTGACTGTTGTTTCCATGAGCATTGTTTGTGGATCCAAGCAAATATGGAATCCTTGACAGTTGTACTCTTTTCTCCATTTATCTAGATGTTACCTATTGATACAGTCGCGAGCATTTTTTCCCCCATTATGTTGTTTTTCTTCTGTATAATTTAAAAAGTATGATTCCTTATACCAAAATCAGCAGACATTGACACAATTTTATAATATGCTAGAGTTCTTCAAACATTTTCTTCAATATGCTGCTATTAACAAAATGTAAAAAAGTGTATATTTCTTTCAAAAATAAGTTTTATTGGCCTATAATTCACATATCATACAATTCAGTAGTTCAGTCATTAAAAAGAGTTGTACAATCTTCACAATTAATTTTAGTTTATTGAGGTTTGAAATGAGAGTGTTGAATTTTGTTGAATGCTTTGGTTAGGTCTATTGTGGTGACCACTTGGCTCTTTATTTTTTGTTTATTCCCATGGTGAGTTACACTCTGAAGTATTTGATGTACTTTACCTATTAGATCATCTGGAGTTTTCTGCTGTAATTAAGACCTAAGTTTCTTTAATAAACATGGACTGTTAAGATTTTATCTTTTTTTTTTTTTAAAGAACCAAATGGCTTTTGTGTGTGTTTAATTTTGATAGAACATGCATTTGACTTATTGCTGGTAGTGAAAGAAAGAAACCTGGGTGATTCAGGTCTGACTCGGGGACTGCAGGGCGGAACTTGCTCCGTAGGATTTCTGAGACTAAGTCAGTGCTTCGCCACCCTCCTCAGGCCGTGACCCTTTTGTACAGCTCCTCGTGTGGGAGGGATCCCCAACCATAGCATTGTTTTTGTTGCTACTTAATAACTAATGTTGCTACTGTTATGAGTCGTTATGTAAATATCTGATATGCAGGATGTATTTTCATTGTTACAAATGGAACATAATTAAAGCATAATGATTACCATAATCACAAAAACAACATGTAATTATATTTTTTTAAATATTTATTCCAATTACAAGTAAATGACATTTTGTCTTGAAGCATGGTGTAGCATAACACATTAACATAGCACATTACATAACATAACACATTACATCTGTATTTGTACGGGATGTATGTGATGGGGTGGCGTGAAGACATCATCACATCACAGGTACTCGGATGTGACTGTATCTGCATGTGGGCAGACCTGCCTGAAGGTGGATAGAGGAGTGGTGTGTTCCGAAGACCATCGGTAATAAGTGTTTTCTGTTGGTCTTAGGCCACTCCTGTGAAATGGTCATTTAACCTCCAAAGGGGTCATGACCCACAGGTTGAGAACCACTGCTATAAATCTTTACAAAAGCAGACAGTTTGACCTTTCTCCCATGGAATGGCTGATGGGTTTGAACCATGAATCTTACAGATAGTAGCCCAATGCTTCTACTTTATCACCAGGTTTCTTTATTGAAAGAATAGTCAACATAGTTTTCTTTGCAGACAAGAAATTTTATTTGTTGAGTTAAACTTTTAATAAATTGATTATATTGCATTCTATGTAATTTATAATAATGACTTTAGTTTTGAAAAATTCTATTTCATAGTAAGAAACATGTTTACTGCATAGTGGGTTTTCTGGGTTATTGCATCAGTTTTGTGTGTGTTATAAAGAGACCTTTAATTACATTTCTCATTCCCCCTGTAAATTGTATGCTTTACATTTGTACCCCCAGAATACCTGTTATTCAACTGCACATTGGCACTGCACAAGCATGCTGTATTAGTCCCTAACCATTTAACCTTAGAATCCAGGTAGAAGCTGCGTTGCTGTGAATTTTTTTTATTGCACATCTCATTTTATTCTTCTCCTTATTCTTACAGTACTGGACATGGCAAGACATGTGCCACTGTATCGGGCTCTGCTGGAATTGCTCCGGGCCATCGCTTCTTGTTCATCCATGGTGCCCCTGTTATTGCCTCTTTCTACAGAGGATGGTGAAGAAGAAGATGAACAGTCAGAATCTCACACTTCCGTTGGTACATTATTAGCCAAAATGAAGACTTGTGTGGATACCTACACCAACCGCTTAAGGTACTAAATAGCATGTTGGTTTATTTTGACCTTGCTTTAACAATGTTTGCTTATATTGCCATATGGATTTGGCTTCTTTGTTTGTTTTCTAAGGCTGAATTAAAATTAAATACAGAAAAGCACTATATAAATCTATAAAGAAAAATTCCCATCCAAATCCTACACCCAGAAACATTAATATTTGCAATGGTTTATCTGACTTCTTCCTATGAATTCATTTTTAATAGTTTTATTGGCATTTATTTCACATATTGTATGATTTAATCGTTCAGTAATATTAAGAATAATATTCTTGTAGCAATAAGTATGCATTTTTTAAAATGCCATCACATTGTACCTAATATACAGATAGATACTACTTTCATTTGATAAGGATGTCAATGATGCCTCTGTCCCTGAGTATATATCTCTGATACTGTTCTTTGCCGCCCGCCCCCAGTCATTTTATTGGAAGCTCTTATAGATATTATTAACATTCCATCGTTCAAACATATCAAGCAGTATTGTACAATTGATAGTGTTCTTCACATGTATATAAACTCATTCAGTGCCTTCAAGTCAGTTTCAACTTAGTACTGTATATAGGTGCTGTAATTTACTTAACTCTCTATAGACATTTAAGTTGTTTGAGTATATAATAGCCTCATACATATAGATGGATTTCCAGAGAAATCTTTGTAGGGCATATTCATAAAAAATAATTCTGTTTTATTATGATGCATGTTATTACTTTCATCTATTACCTTTTCTAAAGGCCAAGGTGACCCTTTCAGTATTTGTTAGAGGTACAGTAAAATTGTATTTTTATCATCTTGGAAAATTGAAGTTTTGAGTCGCCTAGCAATCCTTTTCTTTTCTCTTAGCAGATCTATTTAATGGTTTGTCAGTTTTCATTAAAGATGAAATTACAGACATAATCTAATTTATAAGTCATTTACTTTTAGCTAATAGTGCCACTGAAATTTATTTTTTCTCAGTGGTCTTTTGAGTCCGTCAGTATTCTTAAAAGTATCACAATATTTGTATCACCTATTCTCACTTATTTTTTAAGAACCTAAGAAAATGACAAAACAGAATAAGTGAAATAATGGCAGGGAATTGATCTCTAGGGGAGTTGTTTCATCAGTCTTTACCTTCTAGGAAGAAATATATTTCTCAGATAATTATGACTTTATTGGTTTTTACACTGTTATAATAATCATTTTAAAAGTTAAGGGCTCAAGAGCCCCCAGTAAAATTATCTTTTAATTAAAAAAAAATTAAAACATAAAAATTAAATTAAAAAAAATTAGAACTGTAATCAAGAAAAAAAATTAATGGCTCAGTACCAGAATTTACAGAAATTTGCAGAAGTAACTGTAAATTGGAGAAGAGGTGAAAGGAAAAGCCTATTGGTAGAGATTGGAAGCAGTATGTTCATACT